AGGCAACCAGTTTGAATATCAACCAATTAATTTAAACCAGGCACTTAGAAACTAAACACCAATTAAATTTAAATTTGATGGTTCTGACAACCTAGGACCAATCCTATTGTAAGAAATTGATAGGTCATCAAGGGTATAAAAGAAGACAGTAGTTGAAAATCGGTGAGAGAGCAAACTGCCATCTGAAGAGAAACTCAATGGCTCTCACAGAAATCTCTAAGCTCTCAGAGTGAACACCAGCTAATTAAAGGTACTACAGCAATCTTAGCTAATAGCCCTAACACATGAATTTGACAGAGGAAGATGTTCCTGACTGGAAGACAGTGGAGAATGCAAAGAACATTCCGAAGACTTATCCTGACTATAATTTTGAGAGATGAAATTTTAATTTTTTAAACTAATGCGGTTTATATAAGTGGGACTAGTATTCTCTTGGAATGGTAAACAGGAATAGTTACTAGTTAAGGGGGAATTGTATGGTTTGTTAGTAATTCTGTTAATTTGTTAACTGTTAGAATTAGATAAATAAATTGTTACTTGTTGATTGTAGAATGACTGTTAGGACTTCATTTTATTTCACTCTCTAAGAGATTGGGAAGTGAGAGACAGGTTATACCAGTTTCCATGTTTCCTTTAACAGATTACGAGGTAAGGCGAGCATCTCCGAGGGGATCTCGGTTTTAATTATCAGAGAGCTGTTGGCCTCTACTTCATTATAAAACTAATGACAATTCAATTCTTCATGCATAAATTGAGAAAACTATTTTGTAGGTACAGGAATAAGGAAAACAAATGGAATTTTGGCATTAATTGCTAAAGGAATAGAATACAGAAGGTGGGAAGTTTTGCTGCAACTGTACTAGGCATGAGTAAGACCGCACCTAGAGTATTGTGTACAATTTCAGTCTCCTTGCTTGAGGAAGGATGTAATTGCATTGGAGGCAATTCACAGGAGGTGCAGAAGATTGATTCGAGGTGAGGGGTTTGTCTTATGAAGGGAGATTCAGCAATTCAGGCCTATACACTCAACTTTGGAAGAATGACATGAGATCCAATTGCGGTATAAAAGATGCTAAAAGGGTTCAATAATGTAGATGGAGAGGATGTTTTCTCATGAATGAGAGGTCATAGTTTTAGGATAAGATGCAGCAGATTTACAACAGAGATGAGAAGAAATTACTTCTCTGAAAGGATTGTGGGAATCTGTGGAAATCATTACCGCAGAGTTTGGTGGATGCTGGGACATTGAATAAATTTAAGGAGATAGACAGATTTTTCATTAGTAATGGACTTGAGTTGTGGAGAGCAGGCCAGAAAGTGGAGTTGAGGTTGAGATCAGATCAGCTACAATCGCATTAAATGGTGCAGCAGGTTCAAGGGTGTGAACTGCCTACTCTGCTGCTAGTTCTTACGGTTTGTTACTCTTTACTAATTATTCCCAGCACATTCAAATGCATGAAAATCTTGATTGTTACAAACGGAAACTTTATGACATTCCCAAGTCTAACTTCAGATAAACTTAGTAAGCTTTTGTTCAATGAAGTAAACTTTCCCAGCAAAAGAAGGGGGAAAGAAAGTTGAAACCTTAGCCAGTCATGATTCTAAGTTGGCAGCAGTCAGAACTGCTCTTGCAAGTTGTTTGAAAATGGGGAAAATTACAATGTGACATTTATTTTGAAATAAAGCAGCACATGATAAGACAGACCTTTTAATCTTTCCCTAAAAATAAAATTCAGTAAATTGCTGGCAATGAAGTTGATGATAATGAAATACAAAATGACAAAAGCATTTTCTGAATAAATAGAAGATTTGACGCTGTGGATGATGTTAGAAAGCATCCCCCCCACCCCAGTATAATGCCTAGCTAGCTATGTATTAGTGGCCTTTGTACCTTGTGGATCTTAATAGCTGTGTTATCAACAACAAACTATCTAGACAAATCTTAATGACTTATCATTGTTATTCAGTATCTTAGTAATTAAAGACTGCAAAAGGTTAAAACACTTAATTTGTATTTATTTTATCTGTAATTAAACCTCAAAATGATATGGACCTGACAGTTTCGAACAGACATTGAGAGAATTCCCAAGTATCTTGGATTGCCTGGATAAACAATCCCGGCCAGCCTTCGTACTTCCCCACTGACGTGACTCTGAAGTGAATCGCAGCTCTTGGAAAGTGCTCTCTCAGCGCAGGTTTGCTAATCCAGCGCAAATGACAATTAAACTGCTAATGATGTTAATAACACATATTAGAACAAAAATTTTGCCCTTCAAGAATTATTTGGAACATCCTTCCTGTGTTTACCTTTTCTGGTCCCGTTAGTGTGTTATAGGCTTCTATGGGATCATCTAGTGCCTGTACTTCAGAAAGATATGCTCAGCTGTAGCAAAAATAATATCTCTAAGACGTGAGTATTTTTACAATTCATCATAATCACAAGTAAAAAGACGTGCCTCAGTGCTCCAATGAAGATAAGGCCTACTTTGGGGGAAGTCATAGAAACCAGAATTGAATTTTCTACTTGTTGGTCAGCATCTATGACCATCCAAGGTTTATCAAATGCATCAGGTTTTATAGTATCTAGAAGTTTATTTCAAAAGTATAGTAACCACAATGAGAACACCATTCAACCTATAATGTATTGAGAAAACTCCACAGCAAGGTATATTTTACTCGTCCATTTTCTAGTCAGCTGTGCAGACAAGTTAGATTCAATGCAAATCCACCAAATACAGTTGGAAGTACTTGCAGCACAAAGGACTAAATATAACACTTTTCATTCCTCAGAAAGTTAGCATTCCATAAAATGCCCAAAGCAAAGAAAGATGAAACTACAAACTGGTAAATCTCAACAGTCTCTACTTATAAGCTTAAACTTTCTTTTTTCCACTTCCTATTTCAGGCATCAAATGCCATCCAATCAACCAGAGTCAAGTCAGCTCAACAGCAATTTAATTGGCTCTTACACATGATCAATCACAATCTCAGAAGAGCACCTGCATCTCTTAGTAATCAGAAAAATAATCTAAAATCCCCTAAAGCCATTTTAGAACCTACAACACTAAGAAATTCATTTCTGACAAAATTTACTAATATAGGGCTATATCAGGAATCTACAACCTCACTCCAGAGATCTGGCACTTAGAAGAGGCAGCAGCAATGTTAAAGGGGGCAGCGAGAATTCAGAAGTTTCAGAAACAGACAGACCACCTGCTGACCTGTGAGGGACTCAGGAGTGGCAGCAGCAGCAAGGTTAAAAGGACCAAAGGGAGCAGAGAGGCCCCAGAAACAGACAGGCCAATGGCAAAGCTGCTTCAACAATAATAAAACAGGACTTTACAGGACAGCAGGTAGGTATTTCTCTCGTCTCTTGTGATTCAATATTGATTAAAGTGAAGACTCTATAGCTTTAAACTTTACACAGATAAAATATTATTTTAGAAATGCAAAACTACATCACTTTGAAGGTCCATATTCTATTCTGGAGCTTGAGCGTCAGCTGAGGCACAATGCTGCATTATGACGTACTAAGAGCCTGAGAGGTCTGTGGATATTATGCTTCAGTATGTGATTATGCCATATTTTAAGGAAATGCAGGCAGGCATGGAGTGAGTGACAGCCAGACAGCAGAAGAGGACTAGTCAGAAAGTACCTGCTGGAAATACATAAGGTTGAGGGGCATAGATGGGGAAAGGATGGCGAAGTGGAAAGTTGGGAGAAATGTTTTCACCCAGAGCGTGATGGGTGTCTGTAACTTGTTGCCTGAAAAGTTGGCTGAGTTAGAAACTCTGAAACCATTTGAACAGTATTTAGGTAATCACTTGTGCTGCCATAGCCCCCAGGGCAATAGGGAAAGAGCCAGAAAATGGAATTAGTGTAGTCAGACCTTCATTGGTCAATACAATCATAACGGGCTGAACAGCCTCCTTCTCTGCTGTCAGCATCTTTGGGTCTGTATATGCATCACGTAAAATTTGAAAGTTTTCTCAAGACTGAGGAGGCCCAGATTAAAATCCAGATGAAGGCAGCTACTGGCTTGGGAGATGAATTGACCCAGGAGCAGAAGCTGGAAGAGTAATGAGTAGCAGCTTGCCAAATGGAAGCTCATGATTTTGAAGTCTCAGAATGCTAATGCCATCGAATCAGAAGGGTGATTAAACCAGTTTTACTTCAGCTCATCAAAAAATGTCATATAAATTCTGGAAAATGGTCAGCATATGGATATTTTTAATCAACATGTTTAGATATGTTATGACATATATCCAGGGCAGGTGGAACTTGAACCTGCAACTTCTGATTCAGAGATAGCAGCACTACACTGAGCCCAACTGCAACAGCCCTCTTTGATAAGTATATGGGTTTGAATATATTGAACTGATTGACTGATTATTACCATTAAGTTGAGAGTTATGTAAAAGTTTGTGATCCTTGATTTATCTTGCTAATTTACACCAAACCGAGACATGAGTAGTTAATAATTACTTCACAAGACTTATTAAACCATTTACTATACCTTGTCGTTTATTTCATCAATTTAACCCTACTATTTATTCCTATACTCAATATCTAAGCGTTAGTAACTATGATTGATGAATAGGTTTAATAGACAGCTGTTAGTCCATGACTTGATTCTGTGACTATTTTAATAATTCACAGAAGAGACATTAATTCATTCGCACAACCGCTTGTGTGAACTCTGATGGCAGACTGGTGGTATAAATGCTTATATAATCTGAACTGATTGATACAAGACAGTTTGATGATCCAATTTAGACATTATCTACTCCTAGACATCAACTGTATGGTAAACAGCAACTTGTTCTTTGACATGGAGTTCAAGTAACAGATTAAAGATTTGTCTTTTTATGAATATTCTTGTTCAGGTATTGACTTGTGCACTTACAATATGTTATCAGCCTCTTTGCTACAACAAATACTGTCATTAGAATTTTAAGATTACTACTAGACATTGTGCAGCAACAATAGATTCATTTAACCTTCAGTTGGGACAATCGCGGTGGCTTTTGAGGTGGTTCTTCATAAGGTCGGTCTCCAAGAGAGGCTAAGATTCGCTTCCGATGACCGAGTAAGGCTATTTTCAGCACCTAAAGTAACATAAAACTAAATTAGCATAAAACTGAATCAGGAAAAAGCAATAATAATGCAGAAAGTAATCTGTCCCACTTTAACAGCCTGTGTTTGTATTAGTGCCTTTAAGGTAGCAGAACAGCTTAAAATACCTTTCCACAGTGCTGTGAAGCAAAGCTTGACATTAAGCCACATAAACAGATGTCAGCATAAATGACCAAAAACTTTGTCAAAGTTAAGCTTTAAGGAGCATTTTAAAAGGAATTAAAAAGGTATGTTTTTTCTTGGGAAATGATAAAATCAGCAGTAAAGAAGAAGGTGGAATCGCAGGCTAGTGATAGTGCTGGTTGTTACCAGAAAATAAAAGGAAGGGACAGTGTGTATGAAATTCATTTTGTACCAAGGAATCATAGATGTTTAAGGAAATTCGATAATAGAACAAACTTAAAGGTTTTGTATCTCAATGCATGAAGCATTCAGAATAAGACACAAATCGAGGTAAATGAATACAATCTCAGTTATTATGGAACATGGTTACCATTAAATCAAAATTGGGAATTTAACATTCATGAATACTTGACCTTTTGGAAAGACAGAAGGCAGAGAAAAGGTGATGGGATAGCACTGTTAAGAAGAAATGAAATTAGGACAGTTATGACAGATAATCAAAAACAGAAATTGCTGGAAAAGCTCAGCAGGTCTGGCAGCATCTGAGAAGAGAAGTCAGAGTTAAAGTTTCGGGTCCAGCAACTCTTCCTCAGAACCAACGGTAGCTAGGAATTGTTGGTTTTTATACAGAAGATAGGGTGGTTGGAAGGGGATAAGGAGTAAACAATGAGTGGAGATAGAGCCCAAACAGAGAGGGGAACAGTTGGACAGACAAAGGAGCGGATATGGTCAGGCTAGTAGGATGAATAGCTATTAACAAGGATAGTTAGGTGACTAACAATGGTTGTATGCAATAGCAGACTATGTGATAACAAGTGATAGTAGGAACTGCAGATGCTGGAGAATCCGAGACAACCAGGTGCAGGGCTGGATGAACACAGCAGGCCAAGCAGCATCATAGGAGCAGAGAGGCAGGCCTGGGTTGTGGGGGTAGAGGTAAGGACATGGGAGAAGTTCAAGCCCTGAAGCTGTTGAACTTGATTTTGAGTCCAGAAGGCTGGAGAGTTCCTGAGCGGAAAGTGACATGCTGTTTTTTCAGCCTTTGCTGAAGCACTGCAGCAAGCCTGACACAGATGTTGGTGTGACCATATCTGGATTACCATGAGCAGTTTTAGTCTGCTTATTTAAGAAAAATTATTGTTGAATTAGAGGAGGCCTTGTCTTATGAGCAAGGATTAAACAGGTTGGGACTAAATTTAGAAAAATGAGAGGTGATCTCATCGAAATATATAGAATTCTTAAGGGGGCTTGACAGAGTAAATGCTGAGAGGATGTTTCCCTCGAGGAAGAGTCTAGAACCAGAGGGAATCATCTCAGAGAGCTGTGTTAGAGAGCAAGAGTATCTTGTGTATATTCAAGGCTGAGATGGATAGATTCTTGATCAGTAGGAGAATCAATGGTTACAGGCAAAGGGCAGGAAAGTGGGCTGTTGGATCAGTCATGATCCTATTGAATGGCGGCGCTGGTTCAAGGGGCTGAATGGTCTCCTCCTGTCCCTATTCTTATGTAGAAAATTTTCTTGAGGAGCACCTCGAAGTAATGGTGAATGAGGATGAGAAGCCATTGCACAGTTAAGAAAGCAACCAAATGTGTACAGTTCCACCCAGCTGGACATTGGCAGGCTTTGGAAGATGTGGTAAACATGTTGAGAAGAATGAGGAAACCTTTTCATTGTCACATTCATAGTGTTTGAACATTTTTGATGCTTGAACACACTTTTTAAGATAAAGTCACTTGGAGTCACGGTGAATGAAATAGAGGTTGCAGATAAACCAATTATTTCCACAACTTATAGTCAAGATAGATAGATCCAATTGGTAATAAATACTATTCAGAATCACAACCTATGAACAATCTGTTCTTCACACAATTATGTCACCTCATTGCATTGATAGTTACACTAAATTTGCTTTCTTTAGAAACTGTAACTGCATGTTCTCTGTCATACAAATTACTATCTCAGAGAAATTTTCTTGTTTCTTTACCAATGCTTCATTGCCAAATGATCAAAATTAAATCAATTGCTACTTAAACAAACCTTTGTGCGGAACAGGTCTAATTGTTTCCAACGAAACACAGAATTTGAACGGATTACTCTTCAAAAAAGTGCTCAAATTAGTACATAAATGTCACGTACCATCATTTGAAGAAAAAACCCTGTACTTACTGTGAAATAGTGTTTGAACGTAATATACCATCAGATGTTTGTCCATGACCCAGTAGTTCAATTTTAACCTATAGTCATCGGAAGTGTTCACATTTTATGATAAAGTTCAGTCAAGCTACTTATAAAACCATTTTTTTTTGTCCAGCTCTGACTTTAGGATATTTCTTTCTATTGTTTGCTTGCAATCAACAAACTAAGATGATGTCACCAAAGAACAGCATATAGATTAAGAGGTCAGGCAAGGAAGGTGGCAAGTTATCCCACGTATTTTTTTTTCCCCTACGCCAATCTGAATGAAATGCTGATGGATGTGGAAGAACAGATTTTGGTATAGCTAGCTCAAATTTTCTAAGTTTCAGAAAGATCAATGGTTTCAGAACCAATTGAGAAATGTGTATGGGGTCCACTCATTGTTGCACCACATCAAAAAAAGTTTATTGCTCTTCCTGAAATCACAATGAATTCAAGCCTTTTTGGTGTTTGAGTAAAATACAAATGTGGTCCCATACATTTTGCCAGCAAAATGGCCAACTTTTTAAAACAACTTCTTCATAATTCTTCAGCCATATAATTTTGCCTGGCCTCAGATTCTCTATGTTTTCATCTAGTATAAATATCTTACAATATAAATTTGGTAGATACCAGGCAAAGAAAAATTTTTTTTTAATCCATGGAATACTCTCAAAACATGGTTTCATTTGACATACATGCCAATCAAGCAAACTAGCAAAAACTGAGAAATAGCTTCAAAAAGCTGACAGCCCCCACTAGACTCACAAGAAAACAGCTCTTATTATAAGCCAAATATGTGAAAACAAGCAGCTCACTTGTGATATAACAAGCTACAGGATTTCACAATGTTTGATCATCTGTATTACAGAAAAATGATGAGGGGACAAAACTGAAAGGTATTTCCAGGAAGAAATCTGAAACAAACAACCTTGGAAAAGTCAGAACTCATACATTTCAAATTATACATTTGGCTGAATTTTTATTTCTGACTTTTTTTAAACCTTAAGAGAATAGCTAAATCATATCTGAATTTTGAACAGGTCAACCAGACCATCACTCACCCAGACCATCACTCACCCATAATTTATTTCAATAGGTTCTCTTACACATTCAACAATACCAGCCCTGTTGACAGAGTCACTACTCTTCTTGGACTATCCAGTCACTGTACTCCATCCAACTTCTCATCCTTTCATACAGACACATTATTTAACTTCCGAGCTTTCAGGTTTGTACGTGCAGCTCCCTGGTTCTCTCAAAATGATCCACCAATCTACACATTTCACCCAATCCAGTTGCAATTTGTCCACCTTAACACTCAATCCGTGACTCCAATCAGTTCAGTTTAATCAGACATTTCCTTAACCACAACCTCCTGTTCAAGATGGCATTCTCTTGCCTTCCCATACAACATCTCATCCCCATCCTTTATTAACTTCGAAGGCACGCGGATTTTCTGCGCACTTTTTGCTATCCATTGTTGACATCCCATCCAGTTTTTGTCCTATCATTCTGATCCTAATAAGTCTTGTTGCTCTACACTGTAGGTGGGAACTCTTACTTTGCAAAAAGTCTTGTTTACAGAATGGAGCAAGTGGAATTCTTTCTAAAAAAGTTCACCAACTGATGTGGCATTAAGAATATGCAAACCAATCCACGAAAGCAACTGTCAATGTAAAAAAAAGATAGTCAGCAAAAACGATAATTCTACATCTCAGTTTTGGGCAAGATTCAGTCAAATGAGCAATATAATGGTGGCAAGTGTTTAAGTTACATCTGGAGACATTTTCAATTGTCAGTATTTCGATTCAAACTGAAAATCAATCAGCAATCTTGCTTTTCTTTAATTCGTAAGATAATGGATTACTTATGGCTGACTACAGGAATATTTAAAACAGTATCTTTTATGATAGTTAGAAAATTAGATTGTGGTGGAAGGAGAAACTCTTCAACCAGAATAAACTGAGATAGCAATTTATATTTATGTATAACTATTTTGCCAAACCATCAGTTTTGCAGCATTGACCTCTAGAGATTGTTTTCAAACAGAAGAATTAGGTTCAGAAGCTGTCAGATCATTGATCAAATGTGAAATTACTAAGCATGGACAGTTTCTCCTGGTTGATCGGTTGGTCTGTCTGTCAGTGCTCTCACTCGTGTGTGGCAAGTGTCTGTGCCTGTTCTTCCGGCCCTGGCTTCTTCTCTTCCACTGCCTACATTCATCAAATGTCTCCAGCATTATCTAACCACAGCAAATGTGCAAGTATTCTATGATAACTGTCAGTGAAGCTCAGATCAAAAGAAAAAGCATTCTGCTCAGTATTCTGATCAATATTTATCTCACAACTAACATTACTAAAGCAGAGTATCTATTTACTATCCCAATTTGTTGTTTGTGGAATAAAACAGTGAAGCAAACTAACAGCTGAATACAACAATATTACAAGCAAAAAGTACTTGATTTGGTGCAAAATGCTTTGCAATGCCCAAAGGTCTTAAAAGCATGATATAAATCCAAATTCTTTCAACTCCACGAATTTCCCTTGCCTATTAATTCAACTACATATTGAACAATATATGCAACAATTTCAATTATTTGAACAGCTTTTTTTCTGTAAAAGCTATTCCCTTGAAAACAATTACACATAATTTAATATTTTAAACCACAAGACTCACTGTCACTCAGAAGAAATACAACAACTTGCATTCAAATATCAATTTTTATGCAATGGAGTGTTCCAAAGCATTTCACAGGAGACAGACAAAAGTTGAAGCAGTTTAATTTTAACAATATCTTAAAGGAAGACGAGACAGACTGTGGGCAAAACAGTGACTGAAGGAAAGAAAGAAAACAGACAGAGAGAGAGAAATGGAGGAAAGAAACAGGGGAAGAGAGACATACAGAGGTGGAAATGCCTCTCCCAAAATACAGTTCTATAATTTATTCATGGGAAAATAGGAATAAAAGATAATCGAGTACATCACTTTTCATGAGATTAAGTTTGACAAAAGTGGTATTTTCACCATCTCCTTATAAGGCGGCTAGAACATATATTTAGCTTACGTTTACAATTTCGAGTTCCCAGAGATTTTTCACACTGTCCATTGAATTGTATCCACTGGATAAAAACGTCTGACTGTAATCCTGTAGACCAAGCGATTCTAACCATGCTACGATTGAAGTATTGCTGTTTCCATCAAAACCAAACGGTTTAATCTGCAAACAAAATCAATAAGTAGCATTCCAAATGAAGTTGTCTCAGCTGATAAAACTATATCAATGGGCATTCATCTTTTTCTAATTATTAAGAATAAAAACATTACAATTATGGGAAGATGCTCTCAAATCTGGCTAGTCAGTCCAGAGGACTGCCACACCCATGAATTTTATAATTTATTTATTTCTCAAGTGCTTAGCCCAAAGATAAAGCAACTATTCCTTAAAATGCAGTGACTTCTAGCTCCTACAGATAGATTTACATCTTTAGATTCCATCACAAGTTTGCTGATTGATCAACTGGAACGTGGATTAATTGGTTCTACAGTTCCATCGACATGCATATCATCCAAGAGCCTTAACTTCAGTCATATGTTCTTTCCAGAATAGGTTTAAACCCATAGTAGATTGGCAATGAGTACCAGGCCCTTCAGGAAAAACAGTAACTGACTTCACTAATGAAGAATTAAGTAAAACATTGTGATGGGTTAAAACCATCTTCCCAAGTATTTTCCTGACGTGACCTCATTTTACGCCTTCATCTTCATGTAATCCTACATTGAAAATTGATGGAGTTGGGTGGGTTTATGAAAGTGTAGCCAGGGTGTGAAATGCTCAAGTGCTTGATGCAGTTTATATACTCAGTCACCAAATAGAAAAATAAACATTTTGTTACTTGCACTTCCCCAAATCAGCAAAAATAAAACTGGATTTTTAAAAATGACAAGAATCACATGTACAAAGTTTTGGTACACCAATATCTCTGCAGATTTATCTTTTTAAATCTAAGTATTTAATGTTTATTTATTCCCCTACCAAATTGTCAGCCTTCACAGAACTGTCACTAACACAATGATCCGTGTGAAATCCTAAAATAATTATTCATATCAAACACCAATTAACGTTAAAACATTCAGTGTAATCTACTTCACTGTACTTTATGAGTACCAACAATTTACAGAGCATTGAGAATTACTTGCTGCAAATATCTGGGATTTAACAATTAGTGTTAAATCCCAGATATTTGCAGCAAGTAATTCTTTAAAAATATTTCTTTTTCTTCCTTGTTCAGGAATTCTTTAAAATGTCATGGAGTTTTTTAATTTCAGGTAGTAATACAAGTATTTTCAAATTTAGCTTAAAAACCAAACAGGATCCTTCTGATTTAATCACAAAAACATGAGTACAACCCTGTCTTCTCACTCTTTCCAATGGAGCTCCAAACTCAAATGAAGCTCATAGATTCAAGGGTGGATTCTGGCACAGGACCCATTGGCATTGACAACTCTCCAATGGAATTGTTCTTGTAAACCTTGGAAGTTCAAAGGGCATAAGAAGAATTTATCAAGAACAAATACAGAAATTTTAGTGTAATAGTTATATTTATCCATAAATGTTTAACTCAAAGGATAATTTTAGTACTAAATACTGTCACGTGAAAAATAAGTACATCACATTCCTTTGTTGCCCAGAGTGAAAGATGAATAAATTTCAATAAAGCAGAACAAGCTACTGAAGCAAAGAAGAAGTAACATTCAAATTTCCAATACCTTACAAATATAATAATGATATAGCTCAAGACAGAACCTACATCCTAACATTGTCAAAAACCTGTTCAGACCCAGATGAATTTCTACCCAAAAAACCTTTTAATTCCTAATCCAACAGTTATGTAGTAATGAGCAGTTGCAGAGTTGACATTGTCATCCTTGGAACAATTTAGTTTAAGGGGTGACTAAATTTCCAAAATAATGAAAGATGTTAACTGAATAGAGAAAATAAATTCCTACTGACTAGCGTGTCAATATCAGAAATCATAGATTTAAATTCATTAACCTAGAAGGAAGAGGAGGAGAAACTTAAAAGTTGTCAGGATCTGGAGTGTTTTAACTGTAGAGGTGATGGAAGCTGATTCAATGAAGGTAATTTTATTTTTTTTTCTTTATTCATTCACAGGATGAGGCATTGCTGGCTAGGCAGCATTTATTGCCCATCCCTAATTGCCCAGAGGGCAGTTCAGAGTCAACCACATTGCTGTGGGTCTGGAATCACATGTATGCCAGACCAGGTTCAAGGATGGCAGTTTCCTTCCCTAAAGGACAATAGTGAACCAGATGGGTTTTTCCAACAACTGGCAATGGATTCATAGTCATCATTAGATTCTTAATTCCAGACATTTTTATTGAATTCAAATTCCACCATCTGCCGTGGTGGGATTTGGGTCTCTGGATTAACAGACCAGCGGTAAAACCACTAGGCCATCGCCTCCCCTGAAAAGGGATTGGACTTAAGAACAAGGAGTTTGTGGAGTTACAGAAATGTAAAGGGGCATAGCAGTAAGCACAACAGCTATTTCAAAGGTCAACCACAGACTCAATGGCCTCTTTTGTGCTATACATCTCAAGCATAAAATGTTAGATCAGATACATACCAATGTTAGAATTCAACAAATTGACTTGTATATTGCTAAAATAAAGAGACATTTTGTCAAAGCTTTTTGTCTTGCATTCATCAGGACACTTGGCAAAAGCAACTTCAAGGAAACCAACATTTATGCTATACGAGAGAAAAAACAATGATTGATACATGTTCTGTCTGCAAAGACTAGGACCCTGTGAATTAACGTACACAACGTCCCTTACACACAAATGCACCACAGGGCGAGCCTGAATGAAAATCCTAATTTGGTTGTCAGTGTAATTCTTTGTGCACTCAGGACTATCCAGCAAGTGTTATCCAAATCAGCAATCACATCTAACATTGAACACAGTGTTGTGGGTTCTGCATGAGCAGGATCGCTGGGTACAGTCAGTACGTTACTTGCTGCATGTACATGAACTGCACCTGCTTCAATTCAACAATAAATAGATGACAGCCATTCTTTTATTTTATTCACTTGTGGGACATTGGCATCATGGGCTGACCAGCATTTATCGGTTAAATTCTCAGGATAATCAGAATCAACGTCTGGGTTAAAATGTAAACAAAAGGTTGGCAGTTAACTGTCCGTCAACATTATCTTGTGTATTGTTCATGGCAATACTACGACCAGAGTCTAACTGGCAACTAATCAGGATTCTCCTCTCATTCATTCTAAGTATTGGTTTTCCCCTAACTTGATAATGCTAATTTTTGTGATGAGTGCAAGATGAAAAGCTTTGACAAATAATATTTCTCAGCAATATTCAAGTTCTGTACTACAAATACCTATTCGTAAATCTAAGAACTGCAACAATTTCAATATTTAAAAACCAAAAGAACTGTGGATGCTGTAAATCAGGAACAAAAACAAAGTTGCTGGAAAAGCTCAGCAGGTCTGGCAACATCTGTGAAGGAGAAAACAGAGTTAATGTTTCGGGTCCAGTGACGCTTCCTCAGAACTGATGGTGGCTGGGAAATCGTCAGTTTATATGCAGAAAATAGGGAGGTGGGTGGGGTAGGGAGTAAACGATAGGATAGAGCCCAAAGAGAGAGAAAGACAGTTGGACAGACAAAGGAGTTGCTAACGATCAGGCTGGGAGAGTGAGTAGTTGTTAATGGGACTGTTAGTGACTAACAACAGGGGGTGTGTAATGGCAGGCTATGTAGCAACAAGGCCTGGTGTGTGGGGTAGAGGGCTGGGACATGGGAGAGTTTAGGCCCTAAAACTATTGAACACAATATTGAGTCCGGAGGGCTGTGGGTCCCCAAGCGGAAAATGAGGTGTTGTTCCTCCAGCTTGCGTTGGGCTTCACTGGAACACTGTAGCAAGCCAGAGACAGAGATGTTGGCCAGGGAGCAAGGTGGTGCATTGAAGTGGCAGGCAACAGGTAGTTCAGGGTCTTTTTTGCGAACAGAATGTAAATGTTCTGCAAAGCGGTCGCCAAGTCTACGCTTTGTTTCCCCAATGTAGAGGAGACCACATTGTGAGCAGCGAATGCAGTAGACTAGATTCTGGGAAGTGCAGGTGAAGTGTTGCTTCACCTGGAAGGTATGTTTGGGCCCTTGGATACTGGGGAGGAAGGAGGTAAATCGGCAGGTGTTGCACCTTCGCCGGTTACAGGGGATGGTGCCGTAGGGCTGGGGGGAGGTGTTGGGGGTGATGGAAGTGTGGACCAGGGTGTCCCGGAGGGAAACAGTCCCTGCGGAAGGCGGACAAGAGAGGGGAGGGGAATATGTGTCTGGTGGTGGCATCTTACTGGTGGCGGCGGAAATGGCGTCTGATGATCTTCTGGATGTGGATGCTGGTGGGATGGTAGGTGAGGATAAAGGGGAACCCTATTGCTGTTGCGGGAGGGAAGAGAAGGGGTGGACCTGGTTGAGGGCACTGTCGACAACGGAGCTGGGGAATCCTCGGCTGAGGAAGGAGGTAGACATTTTGGAGGCTCTCTTGTCGAAGTTGGCCCCATCTGAACATATGCGACAGAGACGGAGGAACTGAGAGAATGGGATAGACTCTTTACAGGAAGTGGGGTGTGAGGATGTATAGTCCAGGTAGCTGTGGGAGTCAGTGAGTTTGTAATGGATATTAGTGGCCAGTCTATCCCCAGAAATGGAAACAGAAATGTCGAGGAAGGGAAGGGATTGACCAGGTGCAAGTGAGGGCAGGGTGGAAATTGGAGGCGAAATTGATGAAATTTTCCAATTCCAGATGAGAGCAGGAAGCAGCACCGATGATATCATCAATGTTTTGGAGAAAGAGTTGTGGGTGGGGGCCAGAATAGGACTGGAACAAGGAATGTTCCACGTACCCAAAGAAGAGACAGGCATAACTAGGGCCCATGCGGGTACCCATGGCAACCCCTCTTACCTGTAGAAAATGAGAGGAGTTGAAAGAGAAGTTGTTGAGGGTGAGGACAAGCTTGGCCAAGCGGAGGAGGGTGGTGGTGGGTGGGGATGGTTCAGGTCTTTGCTCCAGGAAGAAGCGGGGAGCCCTAAGACCCTCCTGGTGGGGAATGGATGTGTAAAGGGATTGCACATCCATGGTAAAGAGGTGGTGGCTGGAGCCGGTAAACTGGAAG